GGATTTCTAACAAATTTGACCCTCATGTTAGCATAAGGCTGACCTTTCCAAGCCTCCTGACCCCTTGTGACACACAGGCCATTCCATGAGATGACAGGAGAAGGGGGCTCTCCTTGGAATCCTGGGGCTGCTATCGCCTGCGCCACTCTTCACCCTGTGTCCTTGGGCCTTTAACTAAGGCCGTGCCTTAGACTGTTCTGGAAGGGAGGGTGGCTGTTTCTGTGGTCCCATTTGTGCCGCCTCTGTTTACGCCTGGCTCCATCCAGGGACTTCTGGTCTGAACGTGGGAGCTTGGGGAGGCCCCCTGCCAAGGTCCCTGATGGAGGAGCAGCACATGCACAGGCCCTGAGTGCAACCGCAGGGAGGGAAATGAAGCCTGGGAAGATGTTGAGGGTCAAGGGCTTCGAAACTGGCCAAGGGCAATGGGCTGACCTGTGGGCGATGGGCAGGTCTGGGACCTGGCCATCTGGCTGCTGGGGCCTGGCTGGGCCCTGAGTGGGTGGGAGGTCATGGCTGTATCCACCTGTAGGCCTGATTGCCCCCCAAGCAGGCAGGTGGGCCTGGGCCAGGTGGGGCCACAGGGTCAGGGCGGGAAAGGAATTTCTACAGACGCGTGGTGGGCCTGGACGCCTCAGGATACTGAGGAACAATCAGGTCCAACTGAAATAACAAACAGTATCAACACTTCAGTCATGAAATGTGCAACTGAATAACCCACCAGCATGCTTGAGAGCCAAGTATGTGTCTGGAAGCGGCGACCTCTCCGAGGCAGGCTGGTTTGTTGTGAGGCCATGGAACCTCGCCCCAGCCCGTCCCAGTTACGGAGGAACTGGGTTCCGGCCATGGGACTCTTGAGAGAAACCAGAGGCCATGCAGGGCCCCTGCGGCCTGTCGGGGGACACCCTTCTGCGAGTGGTTGAGAACCACCAAAATAAAGCCTTCAATGTCTGTCTTTCTTGCTAGACTGGTTGCCCCACAAGGGGAAAGTTCCAAGTAGGCGTTGCCCCATCCATCTTGCTCGTCACGGTGTCCCTGTCACCTGCATAATGCTCAGCATTTAGTAGGTGCTCAACACATATGGGTTGAGTGAATTAATGTATTTATGTTAATTTTCTTAAGTTAATGGATAAATTAACTTATAAAAAATGTGCACACACGTGTGTGTGTATAGAACAGACTCCTGGTTTCTGTAGACTGGCTACCTGAGAGTTAAGTGGGGAGCCTTTTCACATGTCACACTCCTGGGTTCCGAGGATCCCAGAAAGCTGGGGTGCAGTGTAATGGGGGTACAGCCTGGGAGTCTATTGTTAAGAGTAGTTCATCGGTTCCTCAAAAAGGTAAATACAGAATGACCAGATGATCCCATGTAGGGGTTCAGAATGGGACACCCCAAAATGTGCCTCTGGGGTATGTGATTATTTTGAGCTAAAATCAGTTGAGAATGGGCTCACAAGATATTTCTACCTTTCCCTTAAAGAATTTAAATTAGGGGCTTTGCCCATAATAAGCGTTATTACCAGAAATAACCTTTCATGCCCTATCCATAGGGCGGGGTAAACCCCTAATTGCGCTACACCCGCCCTTCTCACCACCCTGCCGCGACCCTCCTCCCCTCTGACGCCCCAGGGGCTTGATCGCACCCTGAGCTCAGGAGGTTGTACACCCCCCATCTCACCCGCCCATCTCTGCGCCTCCCGTGCACGTGGGGTCTCTGACTCTCTCACGTGTGTGGGGTTCCTGTATGTACATACTTAATTAAATTTGGTTATTTTCTCCTTTTAATCTGTCTCATGTAGATTTAGTTATTGGACTTAAAGAAGAACAAACAAACCTCGAAGGGCAGAGGCAAGTTTCCTTCCCCCCACCCGCCCCCACACCAGCGATTCCACTTGTAGGTGTGCATCCCAAAGAGTTGAGAGCAGGGCTCGTGTCCATGGCAACACTATTCCCAACAGCCAAAAGGTGGGAACAGCCAAGAGCCCATCGTGCATGAAGGGATAAACAAAACACAGGCCCTGCATACACCTTGATATTCAGCTTTCCAAAAGGAATGACGTCTGGCACACGCTTACAGCATGCATGAATCTTGAGGACTTGACACAGTACCAGAAGGACACACATTGTATGATTTTACTCACATGAGGTACTTAGAGAGGAGTCAAACTCATAGAGGCAGAAAGTAGAATGGTGGTTGCCAGGGGCTAGGGGTGGAAGGAATGAGGAGCTGCTTGATTGGTACAGAGTCCAGTTTACCTAAAAATGGTTAAGGATCAGTTTCAAGTTGTGTATATTTTATCCACACACACAAAAGGTGCTTCCTCCTAGCCAGGTCTGGGAGTGGCAAGTGTGGGACTTGGGGAGTGGGAGGGGACACAGACTAGATGTTTCCAGTGGCCCATTGAGGCCTCGTAGCCTGTGGGTGGCTGAGATGGCAGTACTGGCTTTGCTGCCTTCTTGGGGGTGCACATCCTGACCTCTGCTCCTCGGGGGGGGGGGCTCCAGAGGCCACATGGCAGCACAAGGGCAGCTGCTACCTGCCTCCCGCCAGTTCTTGCCACGTGGGATGCTTGGTTATGGAAGTGAAGTCCAAAATGGATTCGTATGTGAAACCTCCTAATGTTTAGATGTTGACTGTTGGTTCAGTGAACAGGCAAGCAAACAACCCCTGTGTGGGTCAAACAGAGCCAGTCTGCAGCCTCGGGTCTGGGGCGTGTCTTTTCTCAGAGCCCGCAGGCTCCGGCCCCAGCTCTGGAGATCCAGTTTCAGGTCCTCTTTCTCTTCAATCCCAGAGAACGCCCCCTGCTTTCAGTGCACCCAGAAGCGGGGTCTGGAGTCCACTCAGGCTGGGGTCTTGGCTTTGCCATGAGTGAGTTGTGAGGCTGTAGATCACTTGCTTCTTTCTCCCTCCATTTCCTTACCTGTCATATGGGAGCAGTAATAGTTTTGTTTCGCAGAGTTAGAGTGAGGACTCCAGGAGGGTGCAGGTGAGCGATTTGGCCCAGGGCAGGGCCGAGGAAGGGCTTTGCAGTGTGTGCGTGCATGTGCACGTGTGTGCATGTGTGTGCCCTGGCTGAGCAAAGCGTGGGTTTGGCCTCAGACAGGCTATCAGCTGGTGAGTTACGCAACCTCAGGCATCTGTTTCTTCATCTGTGATATTGCCCCAGTCGTTCTTTCCCAAAGAGTCATTTTAATGAGGCTTGAACAAGATAATGTTTAAGGTTCGTGGCCACAGCACATGCGCAGCACACCTTCCTTCTCCCTTTGAGAGTCTGAGGCCTTTGCCCTCTACAGAGACTTGAGACAAGGGAGTTGGGGCTGGTTGTCCAGGTCGAAGATCAGAAGAGCAGATTGCAGAGAAAGGGACCGGTGTCCTGTCCTTCCCCCATTAGCTCCCTTTCCTACTCCCCTGCTTCTGGGAGGGAGGTCCTGGTCCCATCCTCAGAAGCTGACCCGCTTGTGGATTGGAGACATGGCCGCAGCTTCCCGGGCAGCTTGGATGAGTGGGGCACCCCAGTCATTGAGAGCAGCTCCGTGCCAACTTTGGAAGGCACATTGGGCAGGGGGGCGGGGAGCCCAGAGCCAAGCTCCACTGGGGTCCCTGGGCTTGCTGTCTGGAGAAAGGGGTCCTTGCCCTGCCCAGGTCCCTTCTGGGAGGGTCAGAGACTGTTCGCCCGCCCAGAGCAAGGAGTGGGCCCTGGGTACCAAGGTCCTGCCTGAGGATCACATGCCTCTTTAACCGGGCCCCGCACTCCAGGGGTGCTTGGGGCGTTGATCACATGAAGGAAGATAAAGGCCCTTAATATCCTGAGACACTGAAGGGCCTAAAGGGCTATTTGACCTTTGGTGAGTCACCGACAGATGATATCTAAGGGCCACTCAGAGGGTGGGGGCAGGCGATGGCATCTCAGTCCTTGAAGGGCTAGCCACAAGACACAGAGGTGCCCAGGTCCAGGGCCCAAAGGCTGGTGGATGCAGGGACACGTAGGCCAGAGTCAACGTCGCCTCGCTGACTGCCTGCCTGGGTGCCCTGACCCCGTTCACCGTCGCCTGGATGGGGAGTGCTGGGGACGACGGGAACACCCTGTGTGTGCACGGCTTACTCAGTTCCACGTGTTCATTGCTTATTCACATTATGTGTGCATTTTCATTACATGTGCCTATTTACTGTGTTTTCATTATACATGTATTCATTACACGTGCATCTTTATAAAGTGGGTTCATTGTTCATTACATGTGCCTAGCCATTGTGCATGTGTTCATTTCACATGCATTCATTATGTGTGTGTCTTCATTGTGTGTTCATTACATGCCTATTCATTGAGTGTGTGGTCATTATGTGTGTGCTCTCTATGTGCATGTCCATTATGTGGGTCCCTAAGGTGTGCATGTTCATCACGTGTACACACTGCAGGGGACATGAGGTGTGATGGGGCCCTTCGGGGGTCCTGCCAGCCTTGAGAAACATGTCCTCTGAGACCCTGGGGTTTGTGAGGATGGAGAAGAAGGGAGTCCCCAAGACAAGTGGAAATTGAAGGTCTTGTCCCCAACATCTGGCCTCTAGCTGGGGAAGGTGGCTCTCCATGAGAAACAAGAAGACAAAATGAGTCCGTGAGGGGACCGCAGTCCCCTTGCCACGGATCCATTCTACAAGGACTCCCTGAGCCTAAAGGGAAGGTTATGGTCGGGTCTGGGGCCGGGTGCTGGCACCCAGTAGGGTGGATGGCAGCGGGCGACGCTGAGGAGAAGAGCAGGGTGTCTGACGGAAGAACCAATCGGCTTAGGTCTGAGCACGCAGGGGGGACATGCAGGACTGAGACCGGTGGGGGAGGGAGTGTGTGTGCCCGGTGCTTGGGGCGTGTCACTGACTGGACCTTGAGCCACCCACTCCCCCCAGCTGTCTCCTAGTCGGGGTGCTGGGGGACAGGTAACTGAGATAGAACACAGGCTCTGGAGCCTTGGACAAGACCAACATCACCTGACATCTTTTCCCATCTCTGCAGGAGGCGGAGGAAAACGCAAAGGGAAAAGCAAGAAGTGGAAGGAAATCCTGAAGTTCCCCCACATTAGCCAGTGTGAAGACCTCCGGAGGACCATAGGTAAGCATCCTGCCTCGAGGGAGCTCGGGGAGGGCCTGGAAGAGGAGCAAGGAGCCTGTGAACCCCCAAACCGTGAATCACACACAAATCAATTGACACCGTGAGTCCAGGTAGGGCTCCAGGCTGACATCCTTGCTAATAGACATAACAATACAATCAACATTTATTATGTGGTGTGTATGGGTAGAATTATCTTTGTTACCCTTTGAGGTAGGTACTGTTATTGTACTCCACCCTACAGATGGGGAAACTGAGCCCAAAGTCACACAGTTGTGGGAGGGTGGCAGAGAGAGGCCAGGCCCAGCCCTGAGCCCCCACTTGTAGCTTTCCACCTTTCCTTTGGGGCCCATGGGCCCTGCCCTTGGGAAGCAGCCCCAGGCTTTGGGAGCAAGGGTGGGGTGAGTGTCTGGGCTCCCCTTTCCTCTTGCGGGGGATGTCAGTGCTCACTGAGAGGCCACCTGCTCCGTGGCACAGCCCAGTCCTCTTGATCCAGCACCCACGTGGCCAAGTACATCCAACAGCAGAGGGGGCTTGTCTCTCATGGGGCCGGCATAGCCAAACACACCTAGTGAGGTCCATCCCCGCCCCACTGAGGACACAACTGCAGTGAGGAGGCTGGGTGACTGGCAAGGGCTCCTGAGGGGTGGGTGGGACAGGGCCCCTCCGTACTGGTGGGGGCCCTGGCCCCCCTCCCTTGCGTGCCCTCGGGTGCCCCTCTACCCCGCCAGCTGAAGGCCGATTGGGCATGGGATGGCCCTGTTACCCAGAACTCTGCGGGCCCAGCTGCTGTTGGGATTTACGCCCAAGGTTTTGGGTGAGCCTCCCCCAACTGCCCGGGGATGCGAAGCCACCCTCGGCCAGGTGGCTATTCTATTGATGGCTGGCTTCTCCCTGTGGCCCGGCCTCCGGCAGCTTCCCAGCTCAGGTGGGACCTAACTGGCATTCAAGTCCTGATCAGTCCTGGCCCCGGGGCCCACCTTCCAGGTTCTCCATTGGCACTGGGACAGCAGATGACAGCTCTTTCCTCTGTGCATCCCACATGCCAGCATGGAGGAGGAGCTTGCTTAACTGGTGTTTAGAAATTAAAAGCCGCTCCCTTTCCCCCACAAAGGCAGCTGTGAGCAGGTGATGAAGCTAGGGTGCTAAAGGGCGGGGAAATGTCCTCAAGACGAACCTTCCACCTTAAAATCTCAGGCTGGAATCCTGTGGCTTTTGTGGGGCTTTGAGTGCAGTCGACCAAGGGATCAGGGTCTCTGGGTCCAGACATTCTTGGGTTCAAACTGCAGCCTTTTTGCCAGTCACCTGACGAGCTATCAGTCTTGCTAAGCCTCAGCGCCCTCGGTGAACACAGTGATCACGGATGCAGTCAAATGAGGCCATGTGTGACAAGGGCTTTGCGGGAGCCCCTTGGGAACTGGGGACCCAGTCCCCTCCGCTCACGGCCTCTTTCTGGAATGCCTGACAGCCCCCACCCCAGCGCGGGGCCACCCCTCTGCTGGGGTCTGGGTGCCCGGGTCGCTCCTGATGCTGGAGGCACTCGGGCGGGTGGGGGAGAGGGTAGGCCCTTGTCCTGGGGCTGGGAGAGAAGGGGAGAGTCTCGCTGCGGAAGCCTGTGAGCAGCCCTCAGCCAGGGGAGGTCTGGGGGGCCCTCTGGGTCCTTCACGCTCACTTAGGCTTAGAGAGCACAGGGGTGGGGATGGACCTCAGGTGCAGGGATGGACCTCAGGTGCCATGGCCGCCTCACACTCCGGGGGAACCAGCTCTCCTTTCACCCTCCCGGTCCAGGACCACAACAAGTTCACCGGCTGTCAGAAAGCCTTTCCCAGAGGCTGAGCCTCGTCTTTCCTCCCCAGGCCTCAGGGAATGGCTCCCCCTCAACTGCTGAGCTGGAAGCCTGGGCCAAGGCATTAATTTGAAGGAGAGAGCTTGACTAGGAGGAAAGGACCCTCCAACATGGGGAGCTGTGCCAAGAGGCACCGCCGGCCACTATAGAGCTATCCCACTTCCGTTACAGCAAGGAGGCCTCCCTTTCTGCCCTTGCGCATTCGAACGAGGATCCCCTTCCTTTCGCTTCTTTCCGCTCTGACATGTAGATTCTGTACCTGGGGGTTTTGAGCCCTGTTGAGGCTCAGGGCTCCCAGCCCCCGAACTGTCAGCACTCTCTACTCCAGTTCTGCTCCCCACGAGGCTTCTGAGCATTGTCCCAAGAGCCCCACAAATGCCCCTCACCTTCCAAGTGGCCTGGCCCTGCCTCCGACACTTCCGGTTTGGGGGACCCGGGAACAGAGGGTTCACCTCAGCTTTTCTCTGTCCGCACACCCCATCCCACAGGCCCCATCCCCACGGGCCCTCCTCCGTCCGTGAGTGGGCCTCCTGGCAGGGCCCGCTCCCCCGGGAGGGTGCGAGACACGTGCGTGCTGGCGTGTGAACATGAATTCTTCTGTTCTAGAGACACTGAAAAGGCTGTGTGCGAGCGCGGTGTGAGGAGAGGCTGGGACAAACAGGAAGGCCGCCATAAACCCAGGGGCTAAGCCGTGGCCGCGGGCCCCGGCGCTCCGGCCTCCCCGCCTGTTTACAGTCCGTCGCCCCAGTGTTTGCGCAGCCCCTGCTGGGGTCCCGCTGGAAGGCTTTCTCACATAAAACCTCGCTGCCTCTCTAGACCAAGACACAAACCAAACAGTGGCAGATGCCGCATTTATTTTTCTTGTGGACTCATGAGCTCACTTTCTGAAGCTCTTTGGGAGGATGCCCCGGACAGGCCGCCGGCCAAGGTGACAGGGCCCCTTGGGCCCAGACGACAGTGTGGGGTGATGTGGTGTGAAGGGAAGGTCCCCTTGATCAGAGGGAAGGGCAGAGCCCGTGAAGACCCGGGGACACTGTCCCCTCTGGATAGCCCAGAGCTGGGGTCTGTCAGAGCCACGCCTTCTCTTGCCCTCAGCACGGCCCTGCACAGCCACAGGACAGCCCCTCCCAGCAGTCAGGGTGACTGAAAAATGACAACTGCATCCTCTGCTGAAACCACTGCAACAGTTCCTCATCCTGCCTGGAATAAAACCCAAACCCCTTCCCGTGGCTTCTGGGCATTTTGGCCATTGGGTAAAGCCTGGAGACCCCTTTCCAGAATAATGCTTTTACATGTATAAAATAAAACACATGAAGTGTATGTGCTTCTTTGTTCATGCTTGACATGGTGAAGCCCGCAGCTGGTCGAATAGCCACTGCAGTTTTGAATTTGTGGCGAGCAGGATATTTTCAGGCGTCTGACCCGACGGTGATATGAACGGATCTGTGGTTTCCGTTGCTGACGAGCCCCTGGCACTGCTGACACCACTGTGGGCTGCTGGCATCGGGGGCTGCAGCGGGCACTCGTTTTCAGTTAGAGGCTGGTGGAAGGCAATGACATTTTTCGCCATCCAAGTCCAGGGACCCCCTAATGCCCTTCCTCCCCTGGCTGTTGCCTGTGTCTTGGGTCACTCTCTCCTCCCCAGTCATCAGCTGCTCTCGTTGCTTTCTTGTTCTTCAAATACCCAAGCTTGTCTCCAGCCTGGAGACTTCGCAACTACTGTTCCCGCCGCCTGGAATGCTCTTTCCCACAAATTCTCCAGGGGCTTTTAGGTCTCAGGTCAGTTATCACCTCCACGCAGAAAGGCCTTCCCAACCAGCTTCTACAAAGGGGCCAGACTCTCCCTCTAGTTGCTGTCTTCCACACGGTGCTGTTTACTAATGTTCTCTGCCTGTAGCTCCGTCTGAAGTCATCTTTTGTGTAGTTGTGGACGTGTGCATTTTCTGGCTCCCCCGCTGGATGTCCCCTGGCAATAGTGACTGTGTCTTGTCTGATTCACCACTACACCAGTGCCTGGCACATAATAGGAGCTCATTAAATATCGGGTAGATGAAGGAATGAGTGAGGTGAAGTATTGGAAATTGGGGCTCTTAAAAAAAGTAATTTGTGACGTGTGCTTGCCATACCCAAATTTAATCTTAGCCAGGGGTTTAAACCTGAAGTCATAAAAGTACAGACCTAGAAGTTACCTTAGAAAGCACCTACTTGAATGCCCCTCCTCCCCATCCTTACCAGATGGATAAGGAAACTTAGCACAATTACAAGGCTGGGGCCCCAGTCTCTCCTCCACTAAATGGGGAAGGGGCCCGTGGCTCCGGCCCAGGCCAGTTTCCCTTAAGGCTGCAGTTGGACCAGTTCTCACAGTGACAGTAGGTTTCCACGGAGTCCTCAGCTCCCGGAACTGGAGAGCGGACCACACGAGGAGGAAGGGGTTCTTTTAATGTCTGCTGGATGGAACATCAACTAAAGACATTATTAGTTAATAAGCTAATTGTTCACATAAGAAATTAGAGGACCCAAATCAAAGGACTTCTCAGAATGCCCAAAACTTCGAAGGCTAGAACGTCATTGTGAAGATAGAAGATTGTTGAGGTCTGCAAATATTTCTCAGTGACGCAGAAAGTTCCGTTGGGGAAAAGTGTGGCATTTTTATTTATTTAGCTCAGTCTCATTGCGTACTTTATTCTTTCATTAAAAAAAAAAGTATGAAGGGACTTGAGTGAAAGAGTTGATTATTCCACTGTTTGGCAATATTTCTGTAGGAACTGTCCAAAAGCTATATAATAAATCAAGGCCCCTCCACACCCCCAGCGAGACTGACGTTTACGAGGAGGCTGTTCACAGAAAGTAGCTGCTGTGGTGCCTTGTGCCCTCGTGGACGAGGGGATGGGATGGGACGGGACAGGACGGGGGAAATTTCACTTGCCTGGTGGCAGAGCCTCTTCCCAAAGCCTTAACTCTTTCCAGGAGCAGCAGCTCTAAGCTGTGGGGGTTCCTCAAAGAAAGTGTAGAATCTTAGTATTAAAGAAAAACACCAGCAATTTGAAGACTGCCTTGAACCAGCCTAGGACTTGATCATCCATTTCCTCAGCTTGGCAAGTGTTCTTTAAACAAGAAAGCAGCCCACAAATATTTGCCAAGCTCCTATTGTGTGCCA